TATTAAGTAATCCAAAGTATTCAGAATACGTTACTCTCATTGAGTAACGTAACGGAATACGTTACAGAATACATTTTGGGGCATGTATTCTGTAATGGAATACATTTTAAAAGTAACCTTCCCAACACTGCTTATGACCAATCGCAGATAGTTGCACAGTTGCAAAACACACATTTTAGAATATTGCATACATGAATAGTGCTTGTTTGGTCAGTTTAATTTCCCTAAAAAGTATATAAAATAAAACATTGGTAAGTATGAAAAAAAGATCACATTAATGGCATCAGAATGGAGGCATAAAGGAGACCTTAAGTTGATTTGACCACCCTCCTATCCCATTTGGTCCCTGAAAATTTACCCAAAATTGGCTTTGTGAAGTTTCATCTAACGAATTAGCAGAAAACAGATCAAACATTTAGGGTACAAAGACTCGGTGTTCTCTATGTCCTGCCAATTGAATTGTTGCACTTTTTCCTCTGAACATTTAATGGGACTATCTTCTGTCAGGGAGTTAAAAGAGCTTAAAAAATACTAGAAAAATAAGAGAACATAAAAAGCCCCACATTTCAACACACCCCACGTACTCTGAAAAGAGGGGATTCATTGATTTTTAATGGAATGACCCAGCAGCAAAAATCCCACACTTTAGGGTTAATTTAAAATTAAAGCTAGACAAACTCTTTGCCATGTTTTCCCTACAGCTAATATTCTCCACCTACAAGCATCGGGCACTGTTCAAAGGAACATCTAGGAAATGGAGTTAAGCACACAGTGAGTAGAACAGCCACTTTGTGTTGTTAATGATCTGGTGCTAATGGGGAGCGCTGAACTTGACACACAGATAGAAAGATCACAGTCAGAGTGCTTTTTTTTTCGCCCCTGAATGAGCTCTACATTACCCGTCTGAGTGTAGTGCATCCAGTTCAGGATCACCTCTGGGGCTCTGTACCAGCGAGTTACTACGTACCCCGTCATCTCACTGTCTGCCTGCCTGGCTAAGCCAAAATCCAAGATCTGCAACAAACATTAAAGTAAAATTAACATTAAAGTCTTAGTAGGGACTTAATATAAAAATATACAAACCAATGAAATTCTGTCTGGTGCAGTTATCAGTGTTATTACAGAACTCCGTTTTGACAGTGCACGCAAATAAAACAAAAACTGAGACACGATTGTTTTTTTTATCAGGGTGTGTTCGTGTGTACCTTGAGCTCGCAGTCTTGGTTGATAGCGAGATTTCCTGGTTTGAGGTCCTGCAAATGTTGACATGAAAAGACAAGCGACGCCGCACCATAGTAGGAAGAGAAACACCAACAACCATTTATCTTAATACTTTTCACATATTTCACATATATGTATGGTGAATAATACATATTAAAGAGAGCCTACCCTGTGAATGATACCAGCAGAATGGATATACTGTAATAAAGGAATGCAACGAGCTGAATATTTTAACATAGTAATAATGGATTGGCAGCTGATCGAAGCAGAGCTCCTTACCTTGAGCCCTTTAAGCATCTGGTAAACCAAATATTGAATTTTTTCTTCTGAGAGCTTCTGCATCTTCATCAGCTTCCCCAGATCTGTCCCCATGAAGGGCATCACCAGATAACTTGGAAAATAACAAAAAAAATCATATTTAAAACTTTACAAATGCTCTTGAGGATTTGCAGATTTTCAATATCTCCATGCTTCTGTCAGAGTGGCAGAAAAGGTACTTACAAATCACGAAATCTGTCCAGAGAGAGGTCAGCTGTAAACACATCTAACAGGCCAATCACCTGCATCAGGAGGAAATGACATCAAATCAACGTTTCATAGGAGGCATGTGTCTATAAAGACATTCGTTTGCTCATTTTAACAAGTTTGGACTTTTCTATGCTCACATTTTCATGTTTCATGTGTTTGAGAAGCCTCAGCTCCCTGTAGGCCCGTTTTGCAAAGATGTCAGACTGGAACGGTCTGTAGAGCTTCTTGATCGCCACCTTTGCTCCTGTTCTTGAGTCTACTGCAGAGCTGAAGGAGATAT